TAAAGTAGAACAATGTATCTGACATATTTCCAGATATCACTATAGCTTAGGGCTCAAGGGACATGTAACAAACTTTAATAAGGTGGCAAATTTAATTCTATCATACAGGCTAGGTTAGAACAAAAATTTGTGGATATACAATATCTCTTCAATTAAAAAGTCACAAGAGAATGTATCTGTAAAGGACAAAAAGCCAAAAAAATTATGCTTTGTTCTTTTAATATTTAGTGCTTATTCATTTTATTATTGCTTTATTAATACGCCAGAGAGGAAGTACAGTCCTGTGCAACTTAATGACAAGACTTGTTTTGAGAAATGTGCTTTGCTGAGCAATCCCATTATGGCGCCAACATCATGGAGCCACTAAAACGGCTATGAACACTAAGAGTTGTGACCTTCTGGGATCCTCATTGGACTTGTGATCTAAGGTGAACCATGTGGCACATGAATGTAACAGCGCCAAGCACAGGTTTTAGTAAGAAGGTATAAGCCACGGGCATGGTGGTACACAGCTCTAGATCCAAGGTTTTGGATGGCACGAAAAAAACTTGAGACCTTCCTGAACTATATAACAAACGCCCTGACAAACACAGGTGTAGAATGAAACACTTTTGCTTGTTTGTTTTAAGCATGGGAAAGAAACTCAAAACCTTGAACAAACTAAGCTTTATAGAACTTCAGATTGACATTTTAATCTTGTCCACAAAATACTTCGGTTTCAAAAGTTTACAGATGGAAAAGACAAAAGTAAATTCAAAATAAAGTAGATATTCTATGATTTTAATTGTGATTAATAGAAGGACTTATTAAGTAAATGGCATTAAATAAATAGGCAAAATTGATATTCCAACTTTGGACAACAAGAAGGGGAGAAACCATTTCCCCTAGGAAGGAGCATACCAGTTGATTATCCAATACCAAATGGTCAGCCCTGAAAACATACGTATAAATTACATTAAATGTATTGAGCATGTTATATTCATATATTTAGAAATACACATGCGCGCGCGCACACACACACACACACACACACACACACACACAAAGCAATTAAAGAAAAAGAGGCCATGGATTTGAAAGAGGGCAAGTGAGTGTATGGGACAGTTAGGGAGAAGAGATGGAAGGGGGATGGTGTAACTATTATATAACTTTGAAAAATTTATATATATATATATATATATAATATAATTTTGATCAGCAAGAAAAGTGATCTAAAGTAACTTCCAAAGTATGCATATTATTTTATTTATGTTCCAAAGTTCGTATGTTCCAAAATGTCAAACATACTAAATGCACAGTAAAAATAAATACATAGATATTTAAAACCTGAACATAGCCATGGCCCTACAGCAGCCAGGGTCTGAGTTGACGTCCATGACTCCTGTTGCAGTTGAGGGCTATGTGCCTGGGGTCTGGTCAGCCACCTGAGACCATGTTAGTGCTCAAGGGTCGTGCCGCATCCAGGGTCATACAGATCTGAGTGGCCTGTGTCACTGCCTAGTGGCATGGTGACCACAAGGCCAGAGCTGCTGAGGAGGGCCACGTCTGTGTCCGTGACCTACTTCAGCCAGCATCTGTGTTGATGTCCATGACTCCTGTTACCATCAAAGACTATTTGGATGCCCAGGGTCTAAGCTGCCGCCTGGGCTATGCTAGTGCCCAAGGGTCACACGGCCACTGCCGTCATGCTGATCTGAGTGGCCTGCCCTGTCACCAAGGGCCATAGTGACATCCAGGCCCAGCCTCTGCTGATGACCATGTCTGATTCAGTGATCCTACCACAGCAGAGATTTGTGATGAGGTCTACGGCCCGTGTTGCCACCAAAGGCCACATGGAAGCCTAGGGTTCGAATATAAACCTGTGGCCTTGTTGGAGTCAGAGGGCCATGCTTCTGCTACAGCCATAGACATCTGAGTGGACTATGCTGACATCCCGGTCAGAGCTACAGCTGAGGACCATGTCTAGATCCACGGTCCTACAGCAGCCAGGGTCTGTGTTGACGTATGAGGCCTGGGTTGCCACCAAAGGTCACACAAAAGTCAGTGGTTTGGGCCACAACCTGTGGTCTTACTGATGCCAGAGGTTGTGCCACCACCTGAACCAACCTGATATGAGTGGCCTGTGCTGCCATCTGAAGCCATGGTGCCATCCAGGCCCGAGTTGCTGCCAAGGGCCATGTGGTCCTACTGCATTTGGGGTCCGTGGTAATGTCTGTGGCCTGTGTCCACAGGGGACCACAGGAATCAAGCGTGGTGAAATCAGAGGGCCATGCTGAGCCCACTCTGCCCTTCACTGGCCCTGAGAAAGCTGGTCCTACTCCTTGCTGGACACTGCAGCTTGAGAGATGGCCCCATCTCTCACCATGAACATGGGAGAAGTGGCCCTGATGGTACAGGCATAGAAGAGCCAGGTCTACTCCTTACCTGAAGGGAGTGGGGAGCAACCCCAGTGACTTGCCACCCTGGCCCATATCCAGTGTCTAGGATTGGCCCACCCTGACATGTACCCCATCTATGTCCTGCTAGGGCGCATAAAGGGACCGATCCTGTGGAATACCCCCCACAGGATCTCCATGACTCAGGGCGGCAGCAGGACCTAGGGAAGAATTTCTGTAAGAGTTCAGTGGTAATGGTACACTGGAAACCAGAGGCCTTGAACCAGACCAGTGGCTCATTGTAGTGAACATTTGCAAGTAAGGCTGATGGGACAAAAGACCCTACTCTGTGACACCCAATGCCACCAAGACGAATGAAGAGGTGATGGAGAGACGGGAAAGACAGAGGAGCCAGGAGGATTTTGTTTGTTTGTTTGTTTTCTGTTTGTTTGGTTTGGTTTGGTTTTACATTCTTAAAATTTTCTTTTGGGGAAACACTGCAAGGGTGAAGGGCAAGTATGGGGGAACTGGAAGATGGGCAGAACTGGGGTGCATGACATAAAATTCCCAAAGAATCAATAAAGAAATTATGTTAAAAATAAACATAAAACCTGAATGCAAACATCAAGTTGAGCTCTGCACCCCACTTTAAGGATTAGCGATATGGAGAACGTACATGTTAGCTTAGTTCATTCTTGCCAAGTTCTTGTACGGCAATAGTAATGTTGCCATTTGAGGCAGCTAATTCTAGAACAAGCTTTGACAGGCACCATGCACACATCTATTTATCTATTGTTTACAAAATCCCAGCATTTACGAGATGAAATCATTCGATCCTGCTGAGCAGAGTGCATTGCCAGCACGGCACATCCTGTGGAAGCTGACCTTTGCTCTCCGGTCTCCCTCTTTTCCCTAATGGTCCATGGACATCCCCTGTGCGGTGCTCCCCTTCACAGCACTGTGCTCTCGTGGTTAAAGAGCATCCGGTCTGTGTGACCACAGTCTCTTTCTTGGGAACTCTGGTTATCATCTTAATCTCCCCAGTCCCTCAACTTGACTCCAGTGCGAGGCTTCTGCTAGTCTTAGACTCCATAGCTCCAAAGGGCTCAACTCATTTGATTCCCAGCCTCCACTGTCTGTCACTGTTCCTCGTGTTTAGTGTTTTGAGAATTGTTGTTTGAAATGTATTTTGTTGTTCTGGGCGTAAGGGTAAATGAAGTAGAGGTCCATCAGAATACTCCTAAAACAACAGTGATACAGCTGACAAGGGATACAGTGCAAGGCTGGTCAAGCGGCATAGTGACGTAAGACCGTAGGCGGTCACCATGCGTGACCACCTGAGCGCAACCCCAAGAACCAACATGCAGAACCCACTCCCACAAATTGCCCCCTGCCTTCTTACACGCACTGTGACACATATGCACATACATGCATGCACACATACATAGACACATGAATGCACACACAGGTACCCGAGCACACATTTAGACAGAAAGTGCAAGGAATTTTCAAGAGAGAAAGTCACACTTAGAAAGCTCGAGGGGGTTTGCATTAGTCACTTTCCTATTGTTGTGATTTGACACTGTGACCTTGCCGCCTTGCAGAAGGAGAGCACATCATCATCATAGCAGGGAGCACGGCAGGCGGCAGGCCTGCCACCCCAGCAACATCTGAGAGCTCATATTTCCATCCACAAACAAGAAGAGCTAGTTCAAAATGGTGTGAGCCTTGAAACCTGAAAGCCCGCCCCCAATGACAGATTTCCTCCTGCGAGGTCACACCTTCTAGTCCCCGGATAGTCACCAATGGAGACCAGGTATTCAAATGCACAAAGCTTACAGGGAACCACACACTCAATCCGCCACAGGTGTGCTGGTTGTTTTTTCTGAACTTGATACAGGCTGGAGTCATCTAGGAAGAGGAAACCTCAATTGAGGAACTGACTACCAGATTGCCCTATATGTGTCTCTGTGGGACTTTTCTAGTTCTCTCTTTTTAAAATACTTATTTATTATGTATAATATGAATGTCTGCATGCCAGAAGAGGGCACCAGATCTCAGTACATCAGGGCATTAGATGTTTGATAGTTACTGGGAATTGAACTCAGGACCTCTGGAAGAACAGGCAGGGCTCTTAACCTCTGAGCCAACTCTCCAGCCCCTTTATTTCTCTTTTTACTTAAAATTTTATCGTAAAGAATCTTTTCAAATAAGTTAGGAAGGTAGTGCACGCCTTTAATCCCAACACTCTGGAGGCAGAGGCAAGTGGATCTCTGTGAGTTCAAGGCCAGCCTGGTCTACAAAGTGAGTTCCAGGACAGCCAGAGTTGTTACACAGAGAAACCCTATCTGGAAAAATAAAAAAATTAAACACGCGAATAAAAAGCTTTACTTGGAAATATTAGCCAGACTCCAAGTCTGTACTTCTCCATGCACATCTGTGTAGTTAGGGCATGCATCCTGAAAAAATGCAGCTTCACACTGGGTTTTCCACTTTTACTGTCAATTACATTTTTATATATTTATACCCCTTACTAATGATGGAGGGAAGCCCACTGTGGGTGGTAAGGAGCAAGCTGAGCAAGCCATAGAAAACAAACCAGTAAGCCGGCATCCTCTGCTTCAGTTCCAGGTCTCCAGGTTCCTGTCGTGAAGTCCTTCTGTGCTTTCTCCGGGTGATGGACTGCAACCTGTAAGCCAAATAAACTGTTTCCTCTCTGAGCTGCTCTTGGTCAGCCTTTAATCACAGCAGCAGAAAGCAAACTAAGACAAGAGGACAGACAGCCTTTGTATCAGGGCACAAGGCATAGGGGGGGATCTGAACTTGAAGACAGGGACAGAGAAAGGGGAAGGCTAAGCACAGAGGCAAATAAGACAAGGGAAATGGTGCAAGAGAATGAGCCTTGCCCGGGAAGTCTATTCTATTAAGTAGAATTCACGACTTAAGCAAGTGTTGCTACTGAACAAATGGCTAACAAGACAGCTCCCGGGAAAACTAGTTGTGATTCACGACTGGACACTGCATCATGGTGGAGGAAGCATGGTGGCAGCAGCTCTCAGCAGTGGTAGCAGGATCTCAGGCAGCTTGGAAATACCCAGAAGGGTCAGGAAACTATAAAGCTCAAGGCCAGCCCCATTGTGACCGACTTCTTCCAGCTGGACCCCACCTTGTAAAGGTCACAGAGCCTTCTAAACCAGCAGTCAGGTAGGGATCTACTGTACAGACACACGATCTTCTGGGGGATATTTTGCACCCAAATTATAACAGAAGTATTCATCTTTTCTGCATGAAATGATCTATTTTTATATTTTGCTATAATTTGGATTTGATTTGATTATGTCCAAGGGTCCATTGTAGGAAAGCTTGAACCTAAGGAAGCCCTATTGTGAGGTGTGATGGAACCTTCAAGAGGCAAGATTAGTAGAAACTGTTTTTTAAAGTAATTCCTAGAAGAACCTACCTTAATTCCTTTTTGAAAGATTTATTTTATTTTTGTTTGTGTCTGTTTATGTTTGTTTGTATGTGGGCACACGCATTCATGCTATCATGTGTGTTCATGTGTTTATACATGTGCGTGCATGTACTTACAGGAGTCAGAAGAGAGTATTGGATCCCTTGGGGCTGGAGTTATAAATTACTCAATGTGGTTGCTGGAAAACAAACCCCAGCCCTCTGCAAGGGCAGCAAGGCCCCTTAACCACTGAGCAATCTATCCACTCCCTGACTTGGTTCTTACAAGTTATTGTAAGAGACAAAGACCTGCCTTTCTCCACTGTAAGGTTCCTGTGTTTTCATTTAATCACTCTCAGAGGCATCTTCACATCAAGCCATCTGCCATGAGACCCTTGCTAGAGACAGTACCACAAGGTCCAGACTTCTCTTCTCTACAGTTGTGAGCCTCCTAGACTCAACTATTTTGTTATAGCAAAAAAAAAAAATGCTAATACACATTTTAAACAACAACCATTTATAATTTACTTACTTTATATGATGTAATTATACTGTTTTCCGTTCCAGATGGTTCATTTATTCTTCAGGATATGTTTGTTGAGTACAGTTTAGAAGTCTATGTGCATGAGCTACACTGATGAATAAAACAAAGACCCCTGCCCGGTGGAGCCTACAACTTAGGACACGTGGGCAATAGGAGGATGAAGGGAAGGGGCAAAACGACAGTAACCATGATACAGACAGGTCCTTCCTAGGTGTCTTCATTGTGTTCAAAGAAAATCTCTACCTTTATTTTGAAATAATATAAAGATTTAACTTTCCAAATGACTTGCACATATCCTGCTTCTTTCCTTCTTTAGATTTATTATTTTATGGGTGTGAGTATTTTGCTTGCACAGATGTATGTGCGCCATGTGCACGCCTCGTGCCCAAGGAGACCAGAAGATGGCATCAGACTCCCTAGAACTAGAGTTACAGTTAGCTGTGAGCTGCCATGTGGGTGCTGAGAAGCCAACCTTTGTCCTCTGCAAAATAGCAAGTGCTCTTAACCACTGAGCCATCTCTCCAACCCAAGCCTGTTTCTTATTTAGTCATGGCATGCCCTGAATGTCCAGACTTTCTTTTTTAACTTAAATGTTTTAATTTTTGAGAATCTCATATATGAGTACTATATTTACATCATTTCTACCGCTCTCTCTCCTCCAATTCCTCCTGTGTTCCCCAACACCCTCTGAAAGTATGGATTTCTTCAATTATTGTTAAATATATATACACATCCATCCACCCATACATACATATACATACACATACATACCTACACACACACACATATACATACATGCATAAACACAACCCACTGACTCCACTTAATGTTGCTTGTATGTTCATGTGCTTAGGACTGACCATTCGTGATTAGATAATCTATCAGAGGTTGTCATAGTATAAGACAGTTTCTCATTCTCTCAGCAGCCACTAATTGCCTGTACCTTTTCAACTAGGGATGGGGCCTTGGGAGGGTGCCGCATCCATGTTGGGATGTACACTGGTATTGCCAGTGTGTTAGTGTTATTTAGCCAACGATATTGTTGAGATTTCATGAATACAGCGTTCCTGTCATGTCTAGAGGACTCTGTCTCAAAGGTCCTCTGGATCTTATAATTTCCTGCCCCTTTGTCCATCACATTCTCTTAGGTATAGAGGTAGTACTGAAAATGTCTCCAGTGGGGATGGGCACCCTACTGTCAGTTGTTCTCAGCATCTGACAAAGGCTGTCTAGTTTGTTTTCTCACACACTTCTCACTTCCTGGCTCTTGTTCTGTTTTGTCTGTTTGTTCTGTTTGTCTCTTGCCCAGGCCAACCTCCAACTTTCTTCTTTCTTTTTTATTTATTTGTTTTTTGAAACAAGGTTTCTCTGTAGCTTTGGAGCCTGTCCTGGAGCTGCTCTGTAGACCAGGCTGGCCTTGAATTCACAGAGGTTCACCTGCCTCTGCTTCCTGAGTGCTGGGATTAAAGGCGTGCGCCACCACCACTGCCCTGCTTAGCCTCCAACCTGCCATGTAGCTAGGAATATGAACTCACTGATCCTCCAGCCTCAGCTCCCTGGTGTTGGAGTACTAGTGTGCATCACCATGGACTGTCTTATGCTTGGCTGGGAACTAGCTCTGTGGGAGCTAGGCCAGTGCTTTGTCAATTGCGTCACACCCTCAACCCTTGCTGACATTGTGTGGTTGACAAGTACAGCACACGTCTCTTCTTCAGCTAACAAAAAGACCCCTGCTGTGCAAACGCTCCTGTCTTCCCACCCGTTTGGAGCCCAAAGAAACCCGGAAAAGTCTTGCCAAGTAAGTAAACCTTGCTGAAAATTTCACAGTAGAAATGCGCTAAATTTTCTCCCTTAAAATATTTGAGAATGACTCAGACTAGGAAGATTGAATACGAAGCCCATGAGACCCAAACTTGTGAGAAGGTGAGTGGGTATTGTAAGAGTAAAACAAAAACGGGGAAGAAAGGAAGACGGGAGGGAGGTAACGTACTTACATGAATGCATTTTTCTGATGAGAGGGATGGTAAGTTCCCAAACGTGAATTAACTTCAAAGCAGGTAAGAACCTATTTTCAAACTTTCTACAAATATTTGTAGAGGTATTGCTAGGTATTTCCACATCCGCATGACCTTCTCTTCGAGTGCTGTGGAAAAAAAGCCTTTGTGCTGATCAGCAGCCAAGTTACAACAGGCTCAGTTATTCGGCAAGGATATGTACAGGACCTCATGGCAGGGTGTCCCAGTCAGCCGAACTCACATCCGATCAGCCTGGAATGGGGACAGCGACACCTGCTGGCAAGTCTCGAGAATTGCACCGTATTCATTTTCCTGCTGGACTTTTTCAGAATCAGCTCATCATCCCACTCAAATACATGTTTATAATCACAAACTGCTTTCCCTTTAATGCAGAACTTTGAAACACTTAGTGAAGCCCTGAACGGCATCTTTAGCAACAGAATCTTCAAAAAATAAAATTAATAGGTAAAAGGCAGAAGAGAAAAAGTGTGAAACCCCTAAGGGGTTCAGTGAATACTCTGTAGAATATTGTTTTGGTTACTGTTCTATTGCTAAAAAGCCCTCATGACCATGAAAACTGTTATTAAAAAAAGCATTTCATTGGGATCAGCTTGCTGCTTTGGAGGGTTAGTTCATGATGGCCGGAAAGAGACAGACATGGCACTGAAGGAGTAGTTTAGATCTTTATTCCCTAATCTGTGGGCAACAGGCAGAGAGAGAAAGAGAGGGAGGGAGGCAGGGAGGGATAGTGAGAGAGAGAGAGAGAGAGAGAGAGAGAGAGAGAGAGAGAGAGAGAG